GAATATAACAAATATATCAATATAAAAATTGAATGTTTAGAAAAAATTTAATGCTAAACCTAAAGAAAGATGTCTTGAAGAACAGTTTTCAAGTCCTTCATTCAGCAGATTATGGCAGGAGACACAGATGGGTATACTGTTGGCTAATGATATACAACTGCTGAAGTTCCACTTTGCCTTTATCTTTCATGTTATGCAACTTACATAGACTCTGCAATCTTAATACAGAATAAAGGCTGGTAAAATTCACTACAAATTATACTCAACTTAAAATTAAAACAGGTTTTAGTTATTTTCAATGAATCCAATACATGTAAGTTGTATCCTGTAGTACTAAAGGAATTTCATGGAATAATTCATAACCTTGAACAGTAAATCTCTGATTTGGTCGAGGTACTATAAACCAATACAAGCTTCATAAGAACAAGAGCTTATCAATATCATTCCCTGATATGTCCACAGCTTGGAATACAGTACCTAACGTGGCTTGACAAACATCCCCAACAAGATTCCAAAATTGGGGTTTGGGCTTTTTTTCTTCCTTTTTTTAAGTTTGTAGATACAGAAAAGTAAGCAATGAAAACAGGGAACAGCATGAATTCACAAACACCAACTATGCTCATGTCACAGAGTTTCCCCTTTGTAGACAGGATTTACCAAACTTTTACTGAATTTCACATGAATAATGCCTATAAACAAGGTGGAGAATAAGAACTAAATACCTTGCATTTACATAAATTTGTAGCTGGTAAAATGAAAATGCTATGCTGATTAATGGAACAGTATCAACTTGGATGGAGATAGCTCTGCCTTAACAATTTTTTTGTCTTACGTGTACACAGAAATGTTTACTAAATTTTCCCATGACTGAGAATAACAGCCTGTTTTTTAAAAAAGATCTAAAAATTAGTAAAATAAAATTTCAAATTAGTACATTTATAAAATGAGGTAATAATTATGCAAGTTCAGAATAGAGAGGTCTGTTTCAATGTGACTTTTGAGTTTTCATTTTCCCACTCCATGAGTTAAGAGTATATGACTGACATAAAACAAATTTCATCTTATATTTGTTAATGTGTAATACATTATTATACATACCTTGAAAGCCTCCTAATTTATATACTCCACTCTCTTATATACAGATTTATAAGTGGGACTGAAAACCGAAGGTGACGATACCCATATTTGTAACTTTTTTGCATTGGCCTTTGAATATCTAGGAATAGTAGTTTTATATCCCCAAATCAAATCATACCAAGTTTTAAATATAGTCTAATTTCATTTCTTACAATGCCATAAGACATTATTTCTGTCCTAAAGGTAATGATAGTGAGGCATAATCAGAGACTCACCCAGGCATGTGACAAATGCTTCTTTTAATAATTCAACCACACTTTCCTTACTTCGCTATTTAGTATTCCTTTCTGCTACTTCCAGATTTGCTGAACCACCAGTGAGAGTAAGGCCCAGTAACACAAAGACTATCCAGAAAGTGTCCATCCATGTACTATGAAAAATGATATTAAAGATACAAGAAACATTATACATAGAACAATGATGCCTGAAGTTCTGTTCAAAGCAGGCACCTTGGGACCTTACACAGTTCTAATCACCATCAGCTGCCCCGTCATACTTTCCTGGATCTCATTCATGGTCTGAAATCTTCCCTTTCAAAGGTGATTTTAGTTTTGGGAAAAGTCAGAAGTCATAGGGTTCCAAATCTGGGCTGCTAAGGGGCATGAGTCACCTGGGTGATTTTGTTTTGCCAAAAAAGCCTGCATAAGATGTGATACATGAGCAAGTATGTGGTCGTGATGAAGCTGCCAAACACTTGTCCACAGGTGCAGGCTTCTGCATCATCCAAATAGTTTCTGTAGAGGAATGTTCAAGCTTATTGCAAAATCTGGTGCAGATTTGTTGCTCTATTTGCTCTTTTTGATTGCCACAGTACACGTGCTCACTCATAGGCATCTACTACCCTCACTTAGTACAGTGATGTTGTCATTGTTCACACATGCACATTCCAGGCCACTCTCCTTGGCTGCCAAGTTACATTGATGCCACACAAACTGTTCTCGTTATATTAACAATGGTTGGACTTATTCCAGAAAGACCTAGTATTTAAAGTATCTCAGGCAATTATAATAAAAGTAGTCCACAATGGAGCTTTGGGAATGGGCTTTGATCATCTAAGTATTTTTTTTGCAATCAAGCTTCTTCTACTAGATACTTGTTTGACAGCAGATATTTTGAGAGTATATTCTGCCATTAGGCAATTTTATATGAGTACAAAGCCCCAAATTAGATCCCTGTTACAAGTGACCTCTTAAGAGTAAGGTACCTAACCCTGTTAACCCTCAGTGTTCCCATGTGTAAAATGGTCACTGGTGTAAGCACTCAACATCTTACCTGGCACATGGAATGCACTCAGTAAACACTACTTACCAATTTTGAAGGTGAAGGCCCAGAATATATTATATTGCCAGTTAAGGGTTGCTTTATAACTGTACACAAGTAGTTTCACATGCCATTATGAATAGACTGTATATCTCCCAAAAGATTCCACATAGGGAATCTTTTGTTACATATATGAGAAAAATATTGACATAGCCTATAATTGCATTAAATACTACTTAAAAGTTGTTTTTATCGTACTTAAGTCTCACATGTTAAAATTTCAAATTTTATGATGTTAAACAGGACATCTAAGTAAAACAAACACTAATAAAAGTTTTATCTTTAATTTCTCTTACTCTTCTGGCATCAAGATTTGTAGTATTTAAGCCAAAACTATCAACATATAAGGCCATTTAACTTATATGGCCAAAGCACCAAAGTGCTTTAACTTAAAAGCTGTGTGTTAAACTATTATTTTTAGGTAACATTTTTTCAGTTAAAAAATAAATTGTCCTTTTTGCGGTTAATTGCCCTTTACAAAAACTTGAGTGAAAATATGTTGCCAAGAAAAATTTATTTGATTCATTACAAGCTGGATTTAGATAGTACCTGAGTCACAAAGCACAGAGGTAATTAATTATAGGTTAAAATTGTTTCTGAGCCTCTTTATAAGAAACTGATTCCAGAGTAAAAGTCTAAGGAATATAAAAAACTTGACACTGTATTAATCATGATACCACTTATAGTTATGGTTCCCTTCCAGTGCCCTTGCAAAAAGATATCCAACTTGAACTGGTTATAAGCATAACAACCTACCATGTGTACCCAGGAATAAAGAACTGCATATAACATTTGGTACATTTTTCATTCATTTTCTCTATGAACCATTAATAAAGACAATTCATACTTTGGGAATGACTTTTCTGACATCAATCGGGAATATTCAACTTTGCAAAGAATGTTAGATTTCAAAAGGATACATATTAGAAACTCATTACGGACAGAGGGACCTAGTTTACTGATTTATGTGTAATTTGTGACTTTGGACTTTATTTGTATGGTTAGAATACTTTTCACTTAGCCATCAAGTTCTCTTTATTCTTTGTTTTTGAAATTATTTACCAATTTAAAACATTATTTATTAATAGTCCCTAACTAAACTTGCCAGTTTGTTTTGCCCACTTTACATTTTATCACTACTTATAAAATCTTATACAACAGCTACTTATGAATAGCCAATACCAGCTAACCTTCCTCTAGTCCTCCCAGACACAACCCTGAACATCAGAACCACCGAATTATTCTGGGTGATGTTAACTTGATGACCAACGAAGAAAACTATCTCAACCGTTCACTCGTCTCCTTAACAAGTCTGTTTCTGTGAAACAGTGGTTTTCTTCTAGAAAATGTTTTATTTATAGATCAAAAAACTAGTGTCTCTAGTAAAACTTTTAATGTTAAAAACTACAAGTGAAATCCATCTCTAAATTAAAGGAATCCATTCTAGAAGCCCTTCTCAGAATTTACATTCTTGAGTTTGTCTAGTTTAAACCAAGGGTTAGCAAACTATGGTCTGTGGGTGGAATCCAGCCCGCCAGTTACTGGTAATTGGAAATGAAGGTTTATTAGAACACAGCCACACCCACTCATTTATGTAGTATCTGTGGCTGTTTTCGCGCTACAATGCGGAGTGCGTAGCTGTGACAGAGATCATATGGCCCTCGGAGCTTAAAATACTTACAAACTGCATCTTTACAAAAAAAGTTTGCCAACACCTATTTTAAACACTTCCATTAAAAAGAAAAAAAGCTATTAATTTTGAATTACAATAACATAAATATTTTCTCATTTTCTTCTCATCACTTTGGCCTACAGAAGTTGATGAGGATTTTTGTGAAACAGCCTGGATATCTCAACACTACTTATAACCTTGTTCTTATGGATTCTTTAAAAAGTATAATCAATTGTACAAAGGAGTTTAGGAAAAAATCCTATTTGTAGATGAGGGACATTATCTACTGACTTGACTTACTCAAATAATCAACCAAAGAACAGAGCTGAAATGCTCCAAGAGACCATGTTTATTACTCTTGAAATCAGGTTTATGGAACAGCTGCTGACAATAACAGTAAGCACTAGTTCAATACAAAGGTTTTACTCACATTTATAAACAACTTTAAAAACTTCAATATTAGTAATTTCACAATTCTTAAAATTTAGGGCTAAGATGGCTTTTAACACTATTATGGAATCAATTTTTTCAGGTAACATACAACTTTGTTATAGCACTTTTCCTTTTCTCAACCAGACACATTTCACCCACAACTCCTAGGGCAGTGTGACAGATGTGAATGATTCAGAAAACTGTGAAAGGTATGACTTATCTTCCTTTGACTTTCCTAAAAATCACAGAAACACATGTACCCTGCACTACATGTAGTATTTGCATGCTTGGTTTACATAGCACACAATTTCTCTTTTCAACTAGTATTTTTCCATAAATATTAAAGTATCAGGAATTTTCTTTCTATAAATTCTCAAAATAATCATTATATTTTCACACTATTTACTAGAAAAATAAAGCCAAGCTACCAAACCTATGGTTTAGGCCAAAAAAAAGTTTATTCAAGAATGTAAAAATATTTTAATTTATCATATTACAATGAATCAATATGGAGTCAAAATTGCACAATTACACATTTACAATAATTCCACACATCATCCTCAGAATAATCAGCTTCTGTACAAAGATTCACAGGTGTCCAATGTATGTAATTCTTCCTCAGTGTGCTACTGAGTTCAGAGGTTCTGCCCGTATATTCCCTAAATCAAGTGCAGAATCTGTTTCTTCATCAATTTCTCCAATGACTGCACTGCAATTAGTTGAAGAGGAACAAAAATAAGTTAAAACTATCTCATTTCTGAATAAAACTGAGATGGCAAAGTAAACAGAAGTATGTAACATGAAAACCAAACTTTTCATAAGGCATAAGATCTAAGAGACAAAACTCAAGAAATCATTTGAAGGCAATAATACACCAGAAACCAATATTAAATGACTTATTTCATATAGTGTGACTGGATCATAAGTCCTTAAAGGGAAAAGACAAAAATCGGATAGATCAAGTATAAAACCCCCAAATTTCTAATCCTACAATTTCAACTCCAGGGACTGACTGGGGAGGTAGGGGGAGAGAGGAGAGAATCATAAAATTACTACTACATAAGGAAATAAAAGCATCTGTTATTTAAGTAACATCAATGAACTAAACCCATCAATGGTATAGTATCTATTAGTGATTCTCATGATTTCTCAGTTTATTTAAATTCAAGAATGAAAAGTATACAAAAATAGCAGCAACAATAACTTAGGTATCTAACAAATGATTTTTTGAGGTGATTGACTAGAGTTAAAGCTAGTAAACTTTCCTTTAACACAAACATAACATTAATTTCATTAATACCATGCTAGGTAACAAAGCCAGGGCTTTCCAGCTGGAAATAGTCATTGTTACATCCAAACCAGGAGACATGTATGAAATATTATTCCACTTTGGTTTTAGTAAGAGTAAATTCTACAGATGAATACTTTTAATAAAGAATTTGCCCAATTTTACTTTAAACTACATAAGGCCTTCAGTTCTCTAATAATGGAAAGTACCAAATTCTGGGAAAATCTATTGTTTTCTCAATATAAAACAAATTTCTTTTTACTTTGTCTCCTCAGGTTTCATTTAGAGATTGGTTTGCAACATTTACTGACATCCATAGTACAAATACTCCCACTATAGCCAATATCAAGCTACCAACAAAACAATCAACCAGCTTGCAAAACTGAAAATACAATAATCTCTTTCCATGAGCCAGTACAAGCTGGCTTCAGCACTCCACTGGATCTACAGAAAATATTTAATTTTTAAAAAAATACAGTTCAGCCCTGGCTGGTGTGGCTCAATGGACTGAGCATGGGCCTGCAAAGCAAAAGGTCACCAGTTCAATTCCCAGTCAGGGCACATGCCTGGGTTGTGGGCCATGTCCCCAGTAGGGAGTGTGCAAGAGGCAACAACACTTTGATGTTTCTCTCCCTCTATCTTTCCTTCCCCTTTCTCTAAAAATAAATAAATAAAACCTTTAAAAAGCTATAGCTCAAAACTACATTTTTTTAAATTAAGAGAAATTCTTAAAATCAGTCATTATGCAGAGCCCCAATATAAAGAATCAGTATGTTCTGGTGAGGGGACCTGGGCCCCACCTGCTTTTCCTTCTTCTTGTTCTTATTGCTCACTTTATAACCCCACCCAAAAGTCATTTCCATAGAATATTTTATAAACCCCTTATTTTTATTAAAGATCAAATAATTTAAAGATGATTTTAAGATAAACAATTTGAATGAACAGTATTCTTTCATCGTGTATATTCTACCTATATCCTAAAATAATCTGAGATGCTAATGTATTTTTTACTGCCTGTCAGCCATGTTTTAAATCTATAGTACTCATTAGAAAATTGATTCAACAATTTTCTACCCGTTAAAACTGCAATGTCTAAAACAGTAGCTAACAACCACATGTGACTATTAAATTACAATCAAACAAAATTTAAAACTCAGTTCTTTAGTCACACCAACCACTTTCCAAGTACCCAGTAGCCATACAATGCTAGCACCGACTTCAGTGGATAATGCAGATATATACCATTTCTACCATCCCAAATAGTTCCACCGAACAGTTTTGCCCCACACTATTACAGACTTTTCTTAAATCACCACCATTAAAATATACATTCTCAAACTGCCCTATCAGTGTGCCACAAATTAACTGAGGCCACAGCATAAAAAAAGTGTGCCAATTATACTAAAAAAAATTAATAGAAAAAATAAGTAATGAAACAGTACATGTTTTTAAATTCAGCTATATTATAGAGCATGAATCATTTAAAATTATTCGTGCAAGAGATTTCAAAGACATTTTCAAACCCCAGCTTTGGTACCTTAGGAGTATATTTATATTCCTCTGAAATTAAGGGTATGTTGGAAGAACATTCTATGAAGCCTCTCTAATGAAGCATTCATGACAAGACAGGGCCCCTTCTGGACCTTATTCAGGCCACTTAACTATTTACAAATCTCAGTAGATAAAAACTTTTTCTCCATGTAGCAGGGCAGTGCACCTACAGTATATTTAATCTGCCTTTTAAAAGACATAATTTACTTACACATTGTCACCTCTTACGATGTATAACCCTAGTACCACTTGTTCTACTCCCTGTGAAGAGCTGAACACTCGTTCATGGCTTTCATCCAAAATCAAATTGATGGTCTGGTCAAAACCCTTCAGTGTTCCCTGTAAAAAAAAAAAAAAAATTCACAAGAAAAAGATAAATACCCTGGTTTACTTGAATGTGTAAATTTAATCACACAACAATTTTAGTTGCTGGGTCCTCCAATAGAAATACATGATTTAAGTCCACTGTAAAACAGAATACCTCTTTATAATTCACAGTATTCTGACGTAACACTTACCTCTTAGTTTTTTAAGGAGTAAAAAAACAACACTACACATTTGATTAGTGTGCAGAGTTGCTGAGAATTACAAAGGACATATAGGTACCAGTATAAAAGCCCAGGCAGTCCAGTCCAGGACCTAACATTCTAAAGACACAAACTAAAATAAGTAAAATTTAAGGGAAAACTATATGGGGCTGGACAAAAGCAGGCTTATAAGCTTGTTCAAACAAAAAAAATGTGTAATACAAGAATAGATAATAACAGAAAAATAAACTCTGTTTTGTGTACTCACAACTATAAACCTCCTTTTGTCCATCCCTGTATGTATATACATACTAGTACTAGGCCCTGTGCTAAACATGCTGCCCACAATATCTCAACTATCTTTTTTTTTTTTTAGGATTCTCACTTGAGGATATATCCACTGATTCCAGACAAGAGGGAGGGAGGGAGGGAGGGAAGGAGGGGAGGAGGGAGGAAGATAGATGACAGATCACAAAAGAAAGAAAAAGAAAAAAAAGGAAGGAAGGAAGGAGAGAGAGATGGAGAGAGATGGGGGGGCAAGGGGGGGAAAAGGGGGGAGGGCAAGAGCAGGAGTGCATGCATGAGAGAGAGAGAGAGAGAGAGAGAGAGAGAGAGAGAGAGAGAGAGAGAGAAATATCAGTGTGAGAGAGACATCAACTGGTTGCCTCTCGAACATGCCCAGATAGAAGACCCAACCCGCAATCCAGGTATGTGCCCTAACTGGAAATCAGACCTGAGAGACCTTTGGATTTATGAGATGACACTTCAATCAACTGAGGCACACCAGCCAGGGCTAACTAATCTTTACCCTTTGAAGTACTGTAGATATAATTATTCCCACTTCAGAGAAGAAAAACTGAAGCACAGGGAGGTTAAATAATTTCTTGAAGTTTTATAGGTAGAAAGCAGCAGAGATAGGACCTGAACCATGAAAGAATAGCTTCAAAGCCAAACCACTGAACTACTATACTACTGATACTATGAAGAAGCAAATATAATTTATCTTTTTTAACACATTGTTTGCGGGTAGTTTTTATCGCACGCTCTACTACCAGTCAACGTAAAACATATAAATACGTTTCCGGCATACAATGTGTTAAGAGATTCAAATAAGTCCTATAAACATGTAAAAATTTCAACTGGTATTAACAGCTATTAGTTAATGAGTACTTCCTACTTGCCAGAAAGTGTTCTATGGGCCTCACAAATATTTACTTATTTATTTTCCTAACAATGCAATAAGGTAGAGACAAACATGACTGCAATAATTAAAACCAGAATTTGAGGGAAATATTTAAATAGCCCTAGCTGGTGTGGCTCAGTGGATTGACTGCTAACCTGTGAACCAAAGGGTCAGGGGTTTGATTCCCAGTCAGGGAACATACCTGGGTTGTGGGCCAGGCCCCCAGTAGCGGGCACACAAGAAGCAACCACACATTGATGTTTCTCTCCTTCCCTTTCCTTTTGTCTAAAAATAAATAAGTAAAATCTTGTAAAAAATAAAAGAAACATATTTAAAGTTTTATTTTCCCAATTCAATTATCTATCCTATTAACAAAAAAATTTAAATGATGTTTTCACAATAACTACTTACAAATATTTGTTAATAGCAGTAGGCTTCTCAAAGTGTTAAGCTGAGATTTAAATATTTCACTGTCCTTGACAAAACATAAGGTAAAGTCCATAAAAGAAAACATAACTATTCTCTTGATTAAGGAGGCAAGATAACTGGCTTAGCTTTAGAGTCAAATCCAATTTAAATCCCAGTTTGGTTCTGCCACTTACTACACATGACTCTGGGAAAGGGACTTCCTTCTTCTGATCTTGCTTCCTAACCTAGAATACAGGAATAATTCTTCTTCACAGAGTTATACTGAAGATTAAAAGGTATAGTGCACGTAAAGTGCCTGGTGTACATGAGATAATTTAATGGCAAAGCCTAACACTTTGGATAATAGTCATTTAAGGACCCACTGAGAAAAATCACAGGGATTAAACAGAAAACAAGAAAACAAAAACAGAATTGCAGAATAGTTAAATAAAAGATTAAGTTATATGAATTAGACACAGTTAGGAAAGAGAAAGTTTAGCAGACTTAAAACATTTTGATAACATACAGCTGTATGAATTATAAGTGAATAAATAACTAAGTAGCCAAAAACCATAGGATAAATTCCTCAGATCAAGGAATAACAAAAGAATCAAAGATTTATTTGGAATTAAAAAGGATACTGTGACAAATGGACTAATGAAATGAAATAAATTTATGATCAATCATCATAATTTGTCCTATAGAAGACAGAGGAATACAACCTAAGAATAATCAAAGAATATTAACCATACAAGACCTAAATGTTCATTATTCTATGTATGTAGTATGTATATTATACAAAATGTTTCAGAGGCATATACAAAACTTCAAAAATAATGATAACATTCATGTACTGAATACCAGAGTACTGACTGGAAAAGTAAAAATGGAAGGGGAAGGTAAGTATAAAATATAGGCAAATATCTGCAGACTAGACTAAATGTTCTGAGCATTAAGAGCATCTAAACTAAATAATGTAATCTATTATTCATAATAGCTCCCAGAAGCCTTGTAACTTATACTCAATATTTATTAATAAAAAATGCTCATAAAGAAATGATACATTCACAACATAAAAACAAAGCTTCTAACTTCTTCAATTCCTTGTAATAATTACACACTTAGAAAAGGAAAAAATAGAAAAAGAAAATCCTTTTCGGTATGTGGTCAGTGTAACCTTTTAGATAAAGAGCTGAATCACAAGAAAAGTTTAATGCAGGATACTATATGATGCTATAGCACCTAGGCATTAGAGGTGAGTGCTTTCATAGAAAAATTTACATCCAATAAGCCTCCAGGAAAGCAGAGAGTGAATATGCCAAATACTTACCACTATCATTCTCCCATCAGAAGTAATAACAGCAACAGTTCCTAATAAATGAATCAAGGAAAGCAACCTGGGACCTTAGAGCATAGTAAGAAGTGGTATGAATTACTAGGGAAAAGGTGACAAATATACAACTATTAACACAGGCATTACTTTCACAACATAAAACCTTAAAAGTTCCTAACTTCTTCAATTCCTGTGACAATTACACAATTAGAAAAGGAAAGAGTAAAAAAACAAAATCCTTTTTTGGTATGTGATCAAGCCTAACCTGTGTCAAAACATCTGGCATGTTTGGTACTCTAATTGGGGAATATTGCCTCTGGCTTTGAGCAAGACATTTCCCCCTTTCTTATATCTGCTTCCTCATCTCTGAAACAAAAATAGGTTAGTGCTGAATTAATGGTGAATGATTTAAAGCGTGGGTTAAGACACTGTCTTCCAGGATTTAGGTTGTGAACTTCAAAAGAAAAAAAAGCTGTAATCCGTGTCACAAGGTAGGAATATGCTTTGTTTGCATCATTTAAAAGTATTTAGTATTTCACTTTGGCCCCAAATTTGTATGTGAAAAAAACGTAGTGTTTCTGTCCTCAGACTTTAAAAGGGTTAATACATACATAGACTTTAAGACTTCACAGATGCTTTCTAGCCACTTGTCCCTTGTGACGATCCATTACAACTGCAAGCATTATTTCCATTTCATCAACAAATAAGTTATGACTTCAAGTGGTAAAGGGGTGGAAATTCAATTTGTGCCCCATCCTTATAATTTTTGCTATCCTCGAACAATGAGCAAAACCTAACAATAAAACAAGTACAGGGGTTTACAAGACCATCGTCGCCACTAAAACGGCTAGGTTCATTTTTATTCCCAAACTTGACCGCACAGGCCCTAGGGAAGGAGTAAGGACCAATCAAAAGCTGACTCCTACAAACAGGGAAAAGTTCAGAAAAATCACATTTTAAAGACTAAAATGAAAAGGCGCCTTGGGCCTACTGGAGTCGCGGTGGCCTCCAGCACCAGGCGCAGGATTAGTGAGTCAGGATCCGTAATCCCCGAACCCGGGCCGAGGTGTGGACGGAAATCCCAACCGTCCGATCCCGACCCCGGCCTCTCCAGGACCCGCGCTCTCCAGTCGCTACCCGGAGTCACCTAGGCTCCAGCCAGCGCCGGCCACCAGAGGATACGGTTGATGTAGGTCTCCAGGGCTGAAGTCATGGTGCTCCGCCGGCCACTCCAAGCAACGCAGCAGCGTAGCCGACAAAAGAAACTAAAACAGATCACCCGCAACCCGCAACGGTCCAATCCACTGATTGCCGCAGATATCGCGAGACTTTCCTCACTTTAGCTTCCGTGAGTAAAAGATTGGCAGAAACCCGTCAACCAAACCCCTGAAGCCTAGCAGTGACGGTTTAGTGCGCGTGCGCAGTATTTTTCTGCTGATTTTCGGGGCACGGTCTCGGAAGCCAAGGTCTCGAAAGCCGAGAGGGACGGAAGCGAGCGGGACCGAAGGAGACGGGAGACAAAGAAAAAGAAGAAACTCCCTTAAGGTGGAGTGCGAGGGGGAAAGCTGGGAAAGCGAGTTTTCTAGCAGAGTGAAAAGTAGTGCCTACAAGTTACTAGTGGGAAGTCTTACTAGCGGGAAAGACAAGGAACAGAATAAGGTGTTTTCATCACAAGCAGAGATGAGTGCTGGTCTGCGAAATATAGGTGTGGGAGAGTGGAATGCCTAGTTTGCACTACAGGGGCCACAATAAACCTTTGAGAAATTGAATGGCCTGTGACAAACTTGAGCACGTTCTGACCATTTGGTATACATCTTTGGAGACCACACTGATAAAAGGCATGTTTGCATATTTGAAACCAGAAATACAGTGTTCGTACTGCTTGTCACCTACCAGACCCAATAAGCACAGGCAGGGGTTGCATCTTTACCGGCTCTTACTCAGATAGCCAGCGATCTGAGAAGATGGTAGGTTTGTACCTTAACAGACCCTCTTAAATTCCATTTTAAAATGGCCCTTTTTATAAGGAGAATAAAGTGTAGGTAAGGGATTTGGAATTCAGGGAAAAGTTAGTTGGATTAAAAAAACTGCAGCATCCTCGCCTTGGGTGGTGGTCTTTAGCTGTGTCCTGGGCAGTGGTCAAGTCACTGGAGGGCAGTGGCTCACATATCTTGAATTGCAAGTGCTCCTGAGGTACAAACATGGAACTGCTTGTGGACTTCTGGAGTCAGGGTGTGTCACACATTCAGTTCCTGGAACAATAGCTTTTACATGCATTGATTACTAAGCTTCTTAGCTATTACTTAAACTAAAATTTTCCAACTTTCAAGTCCCCCATTATATTTTCCATTTGCCCCTAAAAGTGCCCCACCTGGAAAAGGTGTGTGTGCCTCCCTTACAAAACAGCCTTCTTTTACCATACCACAAGGTCTCCCTGACGTTAGGATTCAATTAGTAAGTAAAAGGTCTGCTGCAGCACTCTGGAAAGGATTGGTTTAAGCAAGAGCTTTCTAGTAAGCACCAGACTGGGTTCTAGTCCTAGCTCTGCTTATGAATTGTGTGGGTGCCCTTGAACAAGTAGTACCAGTTCATCTTGGCCTCAGTTTTCTTAGAAGCTGCCACAGCTATAATTTTGGGTATTTCCAAATATTACTAGAAAACTTAACTCTTCTTTAACTGTGGGACCCTAACTTCGTAAGGGCCCTGGCAGTGTGGCTCAATTGGTTGGAGCATCCTGCCTTACACCAAAGGGTTGTGGGTTCAGATTTTTTGTCAGGGCACATGCGTAGGTTGTGTGTTGATCTCTAAATTTTTTTAAACTAAAAATAGTTTTAACTAAAACCTCTTTATACAAGCTTGTTTTGAAATTCCAAATTTTTGTGTTATAAGTTATTCATTACAAAGAATAATTACTGTCACATAGTGTTTCGTTTATGTGCTTTAAATATATTTTCACTAAAACCTTGGAGCTACAGACTTAACACATAATTTTATAGTAAAGCTCATACCTATTATCAAACCAATCAGCTGACTTTATTTTTCAATTTAAATATATATGTTGAAATGCATTCTTTGAGAACTGTTGGAAAGTCAATCTACCGTGAGCTTTCAAGTTCCCTGTACCTCCTGGGTATGCTTCAAATGCAAAGTCCTTCTTACTCTTTATTTGGGTCAATTGTATGTCCCTTTTAACTCAACTTCTAGGTAAACAGCTGTATAATATACATTTTTCAATTCTCTCAAAATATTTTGTTTCAGTGACTTTCTGTTGTTGATATGTGCATCTCTGAGCTTGTGGGGTTTTTCTGGAATCCAGCCTATCTATGTGTGGCAGGCTGGAAATCCTGGGGAATTAGCACTTTTAGGAAGCAGTCATCAGTGACTGACAAGGTAGTTTTATAAATACATCAGCCTCTCTTAAACCAGGTAGGATAATTCAGGTGGGATATCTCCAGTCATTCAACATGGTAGATGACTTAATAATGCACCTCTCATTATTGGTGGTGGTTGTCTTCCTTTTCTTCTAACACTTCTCCACTTTCTTACTGGTTTGCCCCAAATAAACTACTTGCACTTGAATTCTTACCTCAGGGTCTATTTAGAGGAGACCCAAACTAAGATACAGATCATGAATACTTCTCCCTTTCAAAGGGATCTATACCTTACTTGAGTTTGAGGGCATCTATAGCCTAATCCCAATCCTTATCACCAGATCATTTTTCACATGATGCAAAGAAGGATATGAGGCTTCTCCCCCTCTCCACAGATCTGTGCAGGCCTCTTTCAATATCCCTAGGTAAGCAATTACTGCTGCCACCAAAGGTGGTTTAAAATAGGTTGTTTACTTAAAAAATACCTGTCTATGGATAGAACATAGCCAGGTTGTTGCAGTAAAACTTCAGTTAGGCTCACTGATGTGGCAAGAAATGAAGCACAGAAATGACAATAGCACAGCTAGAATTTATTTAATGGTGTTAGGGTAAACTGCAGGGTGTCCCTCATCAAGTCTGAAATGGTATAAATTGCAGAGAGTGAGCCCACAATCTAGAACTACTCTGACCAGCTGATTTCTCCCCCTGAGAGGACGAGATCCCCTAACTCTGCATATGGCTCCTAGTTATTGCAACCACTAGTCTATATACTAATCTCATGTATATCATTTGCCCTGCTTGCTTACTGGTTCAAAAGCAAGCCGACGTGGAAGCACCATTAAATGAGTCTGAGTTGCTGTTCTGACCCCAAACACTGACTAGCCTGTGGTCTGGCCATAATATGTGCCGCCAATAAACCTATGTATCCCCTAAACATTGAGCACTTCAGGTAAAAATTTGACAAATTTGAGCTCACCTTCTTCCCCAATACCACAGTGATCTAGCTGTGGCATTCAGAATCCTTGGTGATTTTGGTGGTGGAGATGAAGGTTTGAACTACTTATGCCTCTTTCCTGAAGTAACAGGACATGGGATGGTGATCCTACAAGGACCCAGAGCTTACAGAATAAGTCATTCATGTTGGCATTTCCAGTACTAGTGGCAGTCAAACTATTTAGCAAAAAGTTTCTCCAGTCTTCCTTAAATCATGTTGGGCTGGTAATGGCTTACTCTACCTCTTTGCAAGACTGTGCCTATAATATTGCCCTTCTGAGTCCTGGGATTTCTTTATAGACCTTTCTATTTAGAAGACTGTCAAGACAGAGTCTCCAGAAGCACACCTTGAAGTAAAAGTTTATTTATATGTCACTGATTTATGAGGAAATATTCCCAAGAGAAACGAGGATTTTAAGGAAGCAGTGGGGGAAGGGGAGGAAATGAAGCATGCTGCATTTGCAGAGTAGGTCTTAAACTCAGGCCTGCATTGTGTGAGTTGATGCTGCACAGTTTTGTCCTCACCAGAGGCAAGGGACCTGGGCTTCTATAACCTCCACCTCGCCAGTCCTTGAGAAGGGCTGCCTGGTATGGAACAGGCAAACTTCTAGCTCTTTGTGAGGGACGACAAAGCCCAGGCAGCCTAATGGTGGCAGTATTCTGCTAAAGAGAAGCAGGTCCTGGCCTCAGGAGGCAAAATCACATGAAGCCAGGAGAGAGGTGCACAGAATCCATGGAGGTAATCTTAGGGGGTCTGGGTAAAGCTATACAGGGTTCAGTTGATTTAATTTCTAGCCACTTAAGTTTTGGGGATATATGAAGTGGGGAAACGTTAGAAGGGTCTGAAGATATGTCCATTTTTGTAAAAGATATTTAAAAGTGTGTTTCTACTTCTTGTCAACAAGGTATACAGCTCCAAAAAACATTCACTTGTAGTCAAGGCAGTTATTTTGTTATATGGGCAGGGGTAAGAAAGGACTGTAGAGGATTATGCACTGTATAAAAGAAATTTTTGTGACATTAACAAACCCTTAATATTGTCTGAAACGTTTGTTGGGACACTTCATTGTTGAACTGGTTTTTGTTATATATGCAAACTAAGTTTTTCCTAGAAGTTATCATAGCCTGAGGGCTCAGAGGAAGTTTCATACACACACACACACACACACACACACACACACCATATTTTGCCATGTATAATACTCACTTTTTGCCCCAATTTTCAGGCAAAATACAGATGGGGATTATACATGGGAATTAGTACCAAGACATGAATGTGCATTATACATGGCAAAATATGGTGTGTGTGTGTGTGATCCTCACCTAAAGATAATTTTAATTGACTTTTAGAGAGAGAGAAACATTGATTGGTTGCCTCCTATATGACCCCCGACTGGAAATCAAACCCGCAACCCTGGTATGTGTCCTGACTGGGAATCAAGCTAGCACCCCTTTGGTGTATAGGGTGACACTCCTACCAACTGATTCACCTGGCCAGGGTGAAAGTTATGTAACAGTAAGTTGGACTTGTCTAGTTTGTGCCAAATCTGCCTTATGCAGTATTTCTATCCCCCATTTAAAGCCTTCCTGGTCATTTTGAGGAGTCTACCTGGGGTGTCTCAAAATAACTCACCAAGTGTCCTTTCATTTCTTCTATTCCAGATTTCATTATTTGTTAGGTAGCCCTGAGAATTCTCTTTAGGGCGGCCCTTTCTACCAGTACCATGACTCAGGCCTGCAGTGACAATATAAATATCTCTAGGGGAGCAGGGAATGAGAGAGCAGAGGGTTATCTCCCAAAACTTCCAGAACTTTAGGCTGTCGAGTTTGCCAAAATCATCATCTATTCTCAATACATTATCTTAGCTAAAACTGTACTGTTTTCAGATCTTAAGTGATGAAGATTCCTTCTTGTCTCTTTATCAGAGCTTGTTATTAGGTTGAAGGAGAGCCACATGGATA